GCTCATTAGCCGGTCACCGTCGATCTTCTTGTCACAGGGGTACGGAACCCACTTCCGTATCAGCGCGCCGTGCGCCGCCGACGGCGTCGTGCCGTTTAACGACCGATACTCATATTCTCTCGGCAATTTCGAATTTACTGAACTTGAACATGACTTGCTGAACATGATAACACACAATGATTAAAGGTTCGAACTTAACATGGAATAGCACTCGGGTGGTCTGTGATGCGCACTAAGTGTGCGACCACACTCCTTCGACCAAACTCCATCAACATGACTAAGTTCATCCGAACACTTAAGTTAAACTAAACATGATTTTGCAAATAAAAGCTAAATATGCGAGGATGGTTCGGAGAAAATAACTTATAACATGACAATAATTGGCACGACTAAGGCTTCTCGCACATAACACGCATGCATGCTATTAACGGGAAGGTCGAACTAAGTAAACATGATAGGCTCGGTCAACAACCCTCGGGAACTTACCTCTTGTTAAGCCCTAGGGACTAACTTCTCGAACTCTCGAGCTCTCGGCCGTTGAGGAACCCCGCGTGCGTGCGTCTCGTGCGATAAGCTACGGTGCGTGCGGATGGCTTGCGCGACGGTACTCTTGGCAATGCTCACGCACAACACTCACAAAATACACTCCGAAAATATACACAACTCACACAATGCTCACCATATCTCTCAAACTCTCGGCACTTGGAAGAGAAAAGTGGAGCAAAGTCTCCATCTTAACAAAACTTAAATAAAACCGAATGCTCATGAGAGGACAATGGCTTGGACACTTGGCCACCATGCCACCCTTCTCTCCCTCATACTCACGTGAATGTGCTAGCACAAGGGGAAGAAATGCATGAACCAATATACACTTACAAGCACGGCATTTAGGAAAATTAGGAAGGAATCTTGGACTAATACACTAACACTACACACTAAAAGACAACATGACATGCACTAAGCTCCAAACACAAGGGTTTAAATAATCTAACAATTCCTAAGTGCATGAGGAAACCGAATGCTATGCACATGACTACTATGCTCGGTTTTTGTAAGAATATGCTCAAGTTAATACACTTTGGAATAATGACAAGTTCTCCTCTTGACTTATGCTAGTTCCCATGCACACTACTACAAGACAACCATATGCACAAAAATACACATGAATGCACGGCTATCTAGCATGATTAGTAACATAGTGCACGACAATCAACATGAAATGGGATCAAAAATTCACTAACATATACACACTTAATCACACGGCCTTAAGCTTGAAAATCGCACAAGTTCTCACGGCTTTACTTAGCTAACTGAGATTAATTATCGATTAATCACCATGACTTGCTTAATTATTCAATTAAGCATAATACTTAATTACCAAAATTATTTCAAACGTAAACGGTACGTCGAAAATAATTTCCGGTAATTTCTACTGAAATAACTGAAAATAATTAATTCCGAAAAATAATATCGGAACTAAAATATAATTTATACTGATAAAAAGTCGGGATATTACAGTTAGGGTCGTTTCTGTGTGTTTTTTATTCTCCCTTTGGGAGCTTTTAGTGTCGTAGTGTTATTTTTGTGTTCTGAGTATTACCCCTTTGGAGTCGGTTCTAGGCGGGCTTCGTTCCCGTTCTCCCAGTTTATTCAGCTGTTGGCTGCTTGCATTTAGCTGTTGGCTATCTGTATTCAGCTTGTGGTTGTAATTTTGCACTTTTGTGCGTTTTTATATAATATATCTATCGTTCCGAAAAAAAAATAAGGAAATGGAAGAATAGATTAAAATAATAAAGTCTTGAAAAATGTTTTCAAGAATTATTATTTTATTATTTATTTTTAATATGATTGACGATTAAATATTAATAAGAATAAATTAATTATGGTGGTTTGGAGTTGTTAACCAATCTATATAATTAATCTTATTTTTATTAAAACAATAATGGTGGTTATAAACCACTCCACATTATTAATTAAAAGTCAATATTTGGTATGATTATTTAAATAAAATTTGATTTCATTTAAAATAAGATATATCAAATATTGATTATTTTATGCTAAAATGTTTAGTATAAATAGGTGCAAAATGTTAGCCCATTAATTGCTAAGTTTTGAGCAAAATTCTTCCAAGAGAAAATTCATTCAAAGAGTTGAGTGATAATACAAGAAAGTGTTCTTGAAAAATTTCCTTATAAATATATATTCTATACTTCTTGAAAAACCGAGTAGTTTCTACTAGCAAAGAAACTATAGTTGGAACCAAAGTTCAAAAGGTGGATATGATTAGAGGGAAGACATTTGGATTCCTAAAGTGAGTAACAACAAGAATTGATCGTTACCAAACCGGGAATTGATTTCCTCATACATCGTCGGTTTTGAAGGAGATCAAGAACAAAGGTAATTTTTATAAATTACATATCAAATCAAAATTAGTAAAAGTTACTAGATTTTAAATGATGCTTATTCGTTATCTCGTTATACTTATGTACGGAATAAGTATTTATAAGATAAATACTTATAAAATTTTAAATTCCGCTGTAAACTCTGTTCCGTACAGTATATCGAACCCAACATTATTCCACCATCATATCATTTCATATATTTCACCATCATCAGTATCATACGGTTTATGATTTAAACACTTTTAGTGTGATGCATTTACCATTTACAAATTTATTCTCCCCCTCATCTTAACAGATCCCTGATCTGTATTTTCAGCACTGAGTTTCTTGAGGGAAGTCCATATAATCTCTAATTCGTTCTCGATTTAAACATATAATAAGTGGACTTTGAACTCATATCACTTGCAATGTGCACATTTTTCTTTCAAGAGTTCATCATATTAGCTGAGTATATTACTGGCTATATCACCTTCATATGACATTCATTTTCATTCTTTCATAATCATCTTGTGTCATTCTTTGATCAAATCATCTCGTAACTTCAGGTTACTGTCATATACACATTCTTTGATCAAATAATTGTTGGGTTCTGTCAGGAACGTCAAACAACATGCACAGTATTGAACATTATCGAAATAAATCCTAACGCAGCGGAATCTATAGTTAGGATATGGACGTTTACCTTTTAAAATTTTTGCTGACTCTGAGACGATGTAGAGTACCGTTAGTGAAGTTCGTCTAAACACCACAACCTAATGGGTGGATAGGATTGGCCTTTAGTTGATTCTAATCAACTCGTCAAACGGATCACGAACAGACGGTGCGTGGGTCTGGGTCGTCGGGTGCAGCGGGCTGATCGTGCGCGTCGGTCGCTGGGCACGGTTCTGTGTGTTGTGGACGGCATGTGCTGGCAGCTGGCGGCGTGCACTGGTCGCTGGCGTGATGCGCGGATCACAGGCGGACGCGTCGGGCGCTGGGCGAACGCGCG